GCTGGGACCTGCACTTGGCGGTCTCTCTTCTCACGGATAGGCAATGTGTTGTTCATGGAGAGCTTGCTTCATTTAAGCGGGTTTGGGAGAGTGTTTAAGGCAGATGAGTGATTTGAAAGGAAATAACTTGTTTATTGAAGAGCTGATTTTTCTCTCAGAAATACAAACCACAATGTCAGTGTGTGGGTGTTTGCATGTGTTGAACCCTTTGAACTCCAAGACATACCACTTTTGTAAGTCAGCATTTCCAAATTATCAACAGAAAACAAATTCATTCTTTACAGTCACCCCTCTGTGGTAACTATGAAAACAGAGGAAAAGCATCAGTTGGCAGGATCTGATTTTTTTTTTTTTTATTTTCAAAACATGGCAACTTCAGTAGGAATCACAGCCACCAGAAGTTGATGATCATACTTGTGAAGCTGTTAGGAGTCTCATTGATCTACGAGACATACAAGTATCAGTTTCCTAACACTATTAGGGAAAGGAGTTCTAAATCCCTTTTACACAGGTTCCCTTCCGCTGCCTAGTAAAGGGTATATTGCACTAAGATAACACTTTTTTATCAGCACTTTGTTGATCTAGTTTGTTCCCTCCTACTTGTGATTAATGACAGATAGAGCAGAGCTCAGTGCTTTTCAATTTAATAAATTAACTTAGAGATTTCCTTCTGGTTAGTTATCTAGCAATGAGCAAGTTGAAAGAAATATTTGCAAACAGGATTGCATACTTATGAGGTCCCTCTAAAACTCAAGGAATACCAGGACAGAAAGCAACTGTGTTTAAGAATATCAGTCTTCAAAGTTTTGCTTTTTCTGTTTGGAAGAAACATAATGATTTAGTCAATGTTAGTATGTATCTCTTCCATTAAATTACCCTTAATAAGCAGGCTGCCTCTCTGTTTTGTCAGATTTTCAGCATTTCTCTGATGTCTCTCAGCTACAGGCGGATTTTTTTAATCACTTTTTGTTCAAAAGGAAGCTTGGTGAGCTGTTGAGTAGGTGTTTTGAAAACACCTTCACTGACAGTCTGTAGCTGTCCCAGGCGTCCCTAAATGATGTCCTCTTGTACAAATGCATGTTTGATCAGCTGCTGCTTTGCTTCTGAGAGTCTGACAAATGGATACTCTATTCTCCCTGGGCAGGAGCTGGGAGGAGGATGGTTAAGAACCCGTCACAGATCTGCATCCCATTATGAAATGAAATCTTGCTGTGGTGGCTACTGTACAAATACACAATGGCCTTCTTTGACTTACAGCTTTGACATATGACTTTTAAAATTAAATACCTTGAAAAGATTTGGTACTTTGGTGTCTCTATTATTAAAATTAGAATGAAAAGTGAAATTGTCCTTTCTTGTGAGAAC